TCAAGCTCAGTTTCTCTGAAGACTACCACTAAATACCTATTCAGAAGGTTACATAGAAGCACCATCAGAAACACATTTAGAGTGTGTTTGTTTTTCTGTTTGGTATAGGTAAACGTGGGTTCATTTTAATCCATCAAGACTCATACTTTTCCGTTTCGTTGCTTTGGAGTGCACGCCACCAATTATATAAACACACACTTAGAAGGAAGCTTCAAAAGTAGACTTCTTTTGAAGGATATGTTGACAACACCAGAATAAAAGTACAAGATGATGTTAACATTGCTTAAAAGTTAAGCCAACTCCAACGGGCCTTTTTGGAGTCTATAAAAAGAAGACTAAGGGAACTATTTGAAATAAGCAAGATTATTGAAAAACATCAACATACAAGCTAGCTTAATTGTTATACTTGCTTCATACTTTGTTTTTTAGAGATCACATCTTCTAGATTTGTAAACATACTTTCAATAGAAAAAGAAGTGTGAATATTTCCTTAGTGGAAGCTCTTAATCAAGGAAAGTGTCATAAAATCTTAATAATTGTTAAGATTCAAACCTGAATTTGTATTTACCTATCTTACCCAAATCTAGTGTTTAGAGGGTCAAGAAGGTGGAAAAAGTTATTAATCAATTGTGATGGAATCATGCCTAGGAGAGCAAGAGGTGATACCTTGAAGGAACCAAGAGGAATGTGATAGACATGAAGATTTGGGCCAGTCAAGGCCAAATGGGCCCGATGGGCTTGGAATACCCAAGTTGAGTTTCACATAGGCCATATCTTGATGTATCCATTTTCTTATATTTTGTATATCTGTTATACCTTTTAGGTGGTTAGAGAAGAAATAGGTACGTTGAAAAATGAATAGACACATGTTCAATAAACATACATTAATTATCAAGGATAAAAATGAAAAAAAAAAGAATTAATAAGTCATTAATTTTGAAAAAATAACTAAAAAAAATACTAATTTAAATGACTATGAAAAAAAAAAAAAAGATTTCATTATAATAACTAATAAAAGATTATTTATTGATTCTTTCTTGTAATAGTGTAACACAGTCATTAACAAAATCCTTAGGTTTATAGGCATTTTGTCTTTTTTCCATAGGCACATATATTCCGCTAGCTATACATCAAGTAACTCCTC